CACGCCCCTGCAGTGAGCGGAGGCCGGGGCCCCCCGGGCTCCCCGGGCTCCCCAGGACCTGGCCTGTTTATGGAGCCAGTCATGCTGAGAGGTCTGCTCCACAGATAGAGACAGAGCCTTTGATTGGGGGATTAAGAGACTCTCAACCCATCTCAGGGTGAGCCCTGGGTCTGTGTGAGCCTGTGCCTGAGGGGGCACCCGGGACGCCCCTCGAGGCTTGGGTGGGGGGAGTGCCAGCTCGGCAGGCCCTGGGGCAGAGGGAGTTCAGTACACAGACTCCTGTAGGGAAGCCTGGCAGGGGGGTCGGGGGTGGGGGTGGGGGTCTGTGCAGTCCGTAAGGGGACTTGAGGGTGAGGACAAACCCCCTCAGACACACTGTTAGTGGGAGTGGCACCTCCCACACCCACTCTGTCAAGTGGGACACGGCCGTCCCAGCAGGGAAGCACGGTCTGGTCTGTGGCTCTTGGGTCTTGAGCGTGTTTGCATTTGCGTGACTGCAGCCGAGTTAACTGCAGGAAGAACTCTGGGCAGGGGCTGGTCCATGGGCCTGATGGTAACAAATCCCATAATGCATAGCACGGGTCCCGCTCGAATCCTGGGTCCAACTCTCCGAATGCCAAGACCCCCGAGGGGTTTGGCTGCTGACGGGATGGTTATGACATTAAAGAATCGTTCATGTTTAAGTATGAGCATGGCTCTTAACGACTCCTCAAATTTCACAAAGAGCTGGTATGGTTTTTAAAAACAGGTGCCTGCCAAGGGAATTCTGGGTGAAATGGTAAACATGCTGTACCTCTTACAAATTCACCTGTTATTTAAAAATGAGGTTATGAGGAAGGAGCATTGAAAAAGTTTTATCATTTCATTTATTTCTTACGGCAGCTCCCCCAGCAAGATGCGTCCCCAAACGTGCAGCCGGAAACCAAGCTGAGAGGTGGGTGACCTCAGGCTCTCCCCGCGAGGAAGGAGCAGGGCAGCACCCTCCCCACCCCATGGCCCTCCTCTGCCCACTGCTGCTCCCAGTGGCACTGAGGCAGTGATGGGCTGGAGCCACACCCCTCCTCGCTCTGGGCTTCTTCCGCATCCCTAAAGCTGCCCTCACAGAAAGCAAACTGGATGCCTGCCCGGTCCTGCCGGACGAGGCTCTGGGGTCAGGGTTCAGCCCCCCCGGGCCCAGGCCCTGCCGGGACCACAGGCCTACAGAAAGGTGAGGACACAGCTGCCACGTGATAGGGGCTGCGTGATAGGGGCTGTGTGTCTGGAGCCATGTGGCAGGAGCCATGTGATCTGGGCTACGTGACAGGGGCCACAAGATAGGGGCCGTGTGCCAGGGCTACGTGATAGGGGCTGCTTGTCCCGGGTTGCGTGTCAGGGGCCATGTGTCCGGGCTGGTGAGAAACAGCAGCTCAGCTTGCTGACGTCCGCCAGCAGCTGCAGGCCTGCCACTCTGGGTTGTGCAGTGCCTGCTGCATGCCAGGCACAGGCCGGCTTCTGGATAATTTAATTCTTAGGCAATAAAACTTTCCCCTGAGCACCTCTCTTGACTCTTGGCCTGGGCCTGCAGTGGGGCCGACGGGCGCCCAGGAGGGACCGGCGATGAGGAAGCCGGCGACCCCGGCCTGCCGGGGAGAGAGTGTGGATTGTGCAAAGATGCTGAGCCACGCCCCACCTGGGCAGCCCCCCGTCCCCCGGTCCCCAGCCCGAACCCCGGCTGCACACGCTGCCTTGCTGGATTCCTCCCTCTTTCGGGCTGGACCTGGCCCACGGCCTGGCCTTTTCAGGGCCATCCTGAGCCTCAGATGGGCACCCCCCCTGTAACTTGGGCAGAGTTTTCCCTGAACCGAAAGCTCCCTGAGCCCCATGTGTGTCCCCCCGCCCCCTGCACCGCTTTCTCAGCACTGGGCGCCTTCACTCCTCCCGGCGATCCCCGCACAGAGCGCCGATTTCTCCTTTTCCCCCCAAACGGGCCGGCATTTTCTCACAGGGGCTTTGCCCTCAAGCTAGGACAAGTATGAAGGTGTGAAAGGCAAGCCAGGAAACCATGCACACTGTTTCATCAATAAGGATCGAGACAAAGCGTTTCTCAGTGACTGCCCCCCGCCCCCCGCCCCCCGCTTCACCACGCAGCCCACCGCGCCTGCTCATGACGAGCAGCCGTCCTCCCGGCCAGGCTCCCGCTGCTGCCGGCTCCGGCCCGCTGCGCCCAGAAAGTGTGATGCAAACCGGGCTCCGCTGGGCCGCTCCTCGGGCCTGCGCTTCGGGGGGCCCGGGTCTGTCCTCCTGAGCGTCCACAAGCCCAAGTTCACGGCCACGGCCGTTAACGCCGCTCCCCTCCCTGCAGGACGTGCTCGCCTGGACACAAAGCCTCACAGACCTGGGAGCCGTGGCGCCCGCTTCGGCTTCGCAGCCTTAAAAGAAGCTGCCTTAGGAGCGGCCCTGTGTGCCAGCTCCTTTCTGCGCAGGCTGTCCACGCTGGAGCCCCCGTACGGACGGGAGAAGGGACGGAACGTTTAGTAAAACTCGAGAACCAACGCCCTCGGCCCCTTTACCGTGTGCAGCTCTGGGCACTGCCCGTGTCACCGCACGGCACAGCCAGAGGCCGTGGGCGCCGAGGACCGAACACGTCCACGCGGCAGCCTCTCTGTGCCACCTGCACAGGGCGGTGGCCCTCTCAGCACCCGGGAAGCCTCTGTCCGAAGCCGCGTCTGCGTTAACGTGTAAGTGTGAGCATGGCTTACACCCACCTCGCCGGCTGAGGCTGTGGACTTGGCCCAGGACTGTCCACACGCGTGGGCACAGCAGCCATAAGCACCGGCCCGTGTGCTATGGGGGCGTTTTGGGGGACACTCTCACCTTTTCCCCAAGAGCCATGCTCACTTTAAAAATTAGACTTATTCAGAGAAATTCAGAGACTCTGGAAATAAAATGAATTTTTAAAGGATGGCTAAACCCGAAGGTGAAGGTCACTGGGAGTGAGGCTTCGGTCCCCCCTCTGTCCTCCCCGCACAGCCCTGACGCGCTACCCGGAGCAGCTGGCGGGCAGTGGCTGCTCACATGCCTGGACTCTAAATATTTACAAATACGTGAGCTCAACTTTGACTTTAAATAGGCAACAGCCTCAAAACTCTAAGGGATCATTTCCATAAACACTCAGGGCTGACGGCGGTCGGCGCTTCTCCACGCGCCTGGCAGAAGGTCCCGCTGGGCCACAGCTCCCCGCGCAGGGAGCCGCCCTGTCCATCGGCATCGGGGTTCCCGCCGCCACAGCCACGACCGCAGCACCTGGTGGTTCTTGGCCATTTTTCCTTTACCGATTCCTCTGCTCCAAAACTTTGAGAGAGAACTTTAGGAAAACTCCCCTTTAATCACATCTCTCGCCAGTCAGTCACTGGGTGTTTCTCACTTTATTTAAATGAAGTTAGAATTGCCCGACTGGTGAGGCTCAGTGGCTGTCAACCTATGAAGCAGGAGGTCACCGCCGATTCCCCATTGGGACACATGCCTGGGTCTCGGGGTCCGTGATTCTCTCTCATCTTTGATGTTTCTATCTCTCCCTCTCCCTTCCTCTCTGAAACCAATACACAGATTTAAGAAAGTAAGCGAAATGAGCATTGGAAAGGGCATTAGTGAACAAGTAACCGAACTCCCCTTGTCGCATCAGGAATCGGAAACCTGGGAGGGAACTAACCGGCCCACGGGAGCCCGTTCAGATAGAGCCAAACCCAGCCCATCCACTGCCCACCAGCACACCCTGCCCGGCGGTGAGTGACATGAGCTCCTGGGTTTGGTAAGCGGGTTCTGTCTCCAGGCGATGGAGAATTCGCCAGGGACCGCTTCAGTGGAGCTGGCCATTGGAAACAAGCTGGTTCGTCTCGTGTGGATTTTAACAACCAGGGAGCACGGAGCCTCACCGAGTTCCCTTAGTGCTTGGGGAGAAGGAATGGCGGTGGGAGCAGTGGGTGTGGAGGGGAGGGAGAGCGGAGGGCAGAGGCAGGTTTGGTCGGGAAGCATGAATTCAGGTGTCGCTTTCCCGTTAGGACACACGGTGGCCATTCTCTCCAGGAGGACCGTGTGCTAGTGGCTCGCCGCTCCATGTCCCCAGCCCCTCAGGCACATTGCTGCATGAGGTGGCTGCTGTCAGGGGGTCTTTTAAAAGACATCCTGTGCTTCCGATAACAGGGAGCGGAGCAGGTTTCAGGTTCGCCCCAGTGTCGTGGGGGACAAGCCCCTTTGCTACCATCTTCTCTCTACTCAGCACTGGGAGGTTATTTTTAGGGTAAAAGGCACCAGAAAGAAGACCTGAGCTGAGAGACAAGAAGTCCCGCTGCTCCAGACGGCAGGCCCTTCCTAGCCAGCACCCAGAGCGGCTCAGGCCCCCCGGGACCGCCTGGTCCCCGCTCCTGCAGAAAATCCTCCTCGAGACTGTGGGCTATGTTTTCCAACAAGTCACACAGGTTTTCCAGCCCCTGAGCCCAGACTGTAGGGTCCCCCAGAATACTGTCCAGCTTCAGGGGGGCCGGGGCTCACAGGTGTCCCACCTACCTAAGAGGAACGGCAGCCAACAAACGACCTCGGTGGCCGAGTGCTTTCTGTGCCCAATCCCGCTGCTTCCTTCCATGGAGCAGTGAGGGGCTGGGTGCCAGCCCCTGCCCCCGGCCCCTCACCGGCGAACGCAGACAGGACGGTCCGGGCGCAGTCACCCACCCTCACACCCAGACCAGGAGGGGAATGAGGCGCCTCAGAGACCCAGGGAGCTGCAGGCTCACTCGGAGGGGAGGGGAGCCAGGCTCCGAGCCGGCCGTGTGGTGGGAATCGAACTCATAGCCTCGCAGGCACAGGAGGGGCTTCTGGGCAGATGCCCCAGGGCACAGGCTCCCCCAGGCGTCCTGTCCTGGCTCCCAGCTCCCAGTGCAGACAGTTGCCTGGCACCTGACACCTGCTCCCACCTCAGGCCCCTGGGTGCCTTCCCTGTCCCGCACGAACGCCCCGCCGGCGCTCACCTTTCCAGGCAGGAATGGGGCAGGGCGGCCAGTCCTTTGCACATGTTTGCGGCTGGCGCTTCAGCTGTGACACAGGCTTAGCAGAGGCTTCTGTGAACCAACTTCCCAACTTTGGGAGTCTCTGTCTCTGGCCGGCTCCCCCTGGACTATAAGGGCCCCGCAGTCCGGCCTGGCAGCCAATCCAGAGCCCGCAGGGGCGGGGCGGGGCTGCGGGGCGGGTAGGGGCTGGGCGGTTGCAGACAGGGCAGCTGATCCCAGCAGGGTCCCCTGTTCCCACGGGTCCGGAGGCCCCCTCCCCCGCAGCGGGCTCTGCCTGAAGCTGAGGGAGCGGCTCAGGCCGTCCAGGTCCCGCCCTGAGGGCACTTCAGGGCCCCGCGGACACAGATCCCAGGATTCCGGGATGAGTGATAAAACTTAGACTAATGGAGCAGCACTTGGGTACTGCCTTGCTATTTCCTCAGTGTCTTTCTAACCCTTGCTATTTCCTCAGTGTCGCTGAGATCGGGGTCTTGTCTTTAGTTTTCTTTGGAGAAGTGTAATTTCTAAAGTAAGACTTTCCACTGTGAACCTGTCCTTAACTGCATCACAGTTGAGATAACGCGGTCTGGAAATGTGAAACTCGGCTGGAATGTGTTGTTTTTGGTAAATGTCCCTCCTGAGCGTGAAAATGCATGTTCTCTGTTGGAGCAGGCACGGCCCTGCACGTGTGCAGCCACCGTGACCATTTCGTTTGTCTCCACGTCTCCACATTGTTTCTGTGTCAGTTACTGATGGAGATTCTTTAATATTCCCCATGTGAGACAGTTTTCCAGCATCTTTTAGTAACAGAGACAGTATTTGCTGCGTGCATTCTGAAGCTTTATTTAGGTCCCTACAAGGTCATGATCTTTGTACCTTTTAATGGAGCAGGCTTTTTAAGAATCTGTATCTAATACTGATTGTCTCTCTCAATGAATTTTGCTCTCAAATCTATCTTGTCTGATATGAATACTTCTTCCTTACTAGTTTTTTTTTTTAAATATATTTTATTGATTTTTTACAGAGAGAAAGGGAGAGAGATAGAGAACTAGAAATGTTGATGAGAGAGAAACATCGACCAGCTGCCCCCTGCACACCCCCTACCGGGGATGTGCCCGCAACCAATGTACATGCCCTTGACCGGAATCGAACCCGGGACCTTTCAGTCCCCAGATCGACGCTCTACCGCTGAGCCAAACCGGTTTCGGCCTCACTAGTTTTGATTAGTAGTGGCCCACATTAGTCATTTCTGGGTATTTTTTAAATTAAAAAACGTATCTCCATGTTTCAAATCCAATAGTCTATGTCCCTCCATGGCTGATAAGTGTGATTCTGTTTCTGTTTGTTGGTCAGGCATGTGGGTGTAGTCTGTGTGGACACTTTTATCCTTTTCTAAACTTGGAGCTTATTTAATCCTTTCTGTTAGGCTTGACTCCTTGATGGTTACACATTCTATTATTTTAATGGCTACCCATCCATTTTTAATATGCTTATTACATCCATTTTGAAGCTAAATGTCACTTAGTACCTCTCTCCTCTCCCTGATAAAACAAAGGCCTGAGCTCCAAGCACTGCCTCCCCTCTTCACGCCGAGGAGAACACCGCACACAGTGACTGCTGCTTCCTTCCTCATGACCCGGGCTGGCCCTCGCCTGAGCTACCCTCTGTGCTCTGTCTCCGACATCACTGTGTCCACTCACTTTCCCTCTTGTTTAGTGTTCCAGTCAGTGAGGACCTGTGGGTGTGGACTTCACAAATCCTTGTATTTCTAAAAATAAATTAATAAAAATAGGCTGGTCGCATTGTCTTATTGTAGAATGCAGTGCTGTTCGCTGAACAGTGATTTATAGCCTCTGTGACTGGCTAACTGTCCCGTGGCCGTGGCTGCGGGGTGCTGTCTCTCTGGGCCCCTGGGGGTCCCTCCATTGCAGTAGAAAGGGCCTCGTGTGTCTCAGTTTCTGGGCTGCCTGGGCCTTCCCTCAGCTGTAGCGATTCCAGGCGAGGTGTGTCTATGAGGCTTCCTTCTCAGGGTCTCTTCTCCCTCGGAGCTTCCCGGGGCGAGGCTGAGGTACCGTTTCCCGCCTCACTGGATATTTTCACCCTGTTATAATACATCTCTGAGTGGCATTTGGAAGGGTTTTCTCTATGTTGTCTGCCAGGCCACTGATTCTGAATTCAGCTGTGGCAATTCTACCCTTGGCCCTTCAAGGGAGGTGTTCACCTTCTTAAATTTTAGAGAGCTGTGAATGTAACTCCTTAGATTTCTACTGGACCCATTTGAATAACTAACCTTGTCCCAGTTTTATGAATATAATGTGCTGCTTCAATGCCTTAACATTTTTTTTTTTTGCATTTGATACGTTATCTTCCCCATTTACATTTGACATTCACTATTATTTTGTGTTAGTTTCAGGCGCACAGCATCCTGTTAGACCATCGTACACCTTACACAGCGCCCCCTGGTGTTCCCGCACCCCCTGCACCGGGCACAGAGCTGCTACAGTGCTTTTACTGTCTTCCCTGGGGGTGCTGGACGGCCTGGGACTGCTCTGTGACCGCCAGTCTGTGCTTCTCACTCCCTTCACCCCTTCACCCAGTTCCCTCCACTGCCCCCCATCCCCCTATCGCAATTGTATTTATGTGTTCTTCTCTTTTGTTTGTTCAATTATTTTGCTTTTTAGATTCCACATACAAGTGAAATCGTAGGGCATTTGTCTCGACCTGTTGACTTACTTAGCAGAATACCTTCTAGAGCCACCCACACGTAAGGTTTCATTCCCTCCATGCTGAGGCGCGTCCCGTTGCAGATCTGCTGCTGGGCCCTTGAGGTGCTTCCACCGCTTGGCTCGTGATGCTGCAGTGAACATAGGGGTGTGTGTGCCTCTCTGAGTTTGTGTTTTGGTTATTTGCATACATGCCTCCGGAGTAGGATTGCTGTGCTGTCACGTGTTTAAAACACACACCTGTATTTAAGGGCTCTCGCTGGCCGTCCAGGGGGCCGTGTGACCGTGGTTGTGAGCAGAGACCGGAGACAGAAGGACCTTGGAGCAATAGGGCTGCCGCTGCCTCTAAGCAGAGTCCTCCAAACCTCGCAGCCCGTGCCTTTTGCAAGGCGGAGCTCAGGAGACGATGACTATTACGAGTTTGCGTGGGGCAGGAGCTCACTGCAGCCTCACCAGCAGAATTACCCCCTTTATCTTTTTAAATGGGTCTCCCAGGACCCGGAAGTGCTCCCGGGCTTTCATTCCTGTCTGCGATGCTACGTTTTGTGGAGTTGCCTCCTGTGGCAGAGCTTTCTCCCAAGGACGTCCTGCCCGGGTTTCGGGCTCTCCCCAGGTCTGTGTGGGGCTGGAACCTGGAGGGCAGGAGGGCCAGCTAAAGCACGGGGCTCCGAGCCCAGGCAGGGGCCGTGGAGGAAGAGGAGTGGATGTTAGAGAGAATGACTGAAGATGACAGTTCTGCGACGTGCGGGTGAGTTGTCAGGCGTTTGCTGGTGAGTGGAAGTGGAGGACTGTGAAGCAGTATGTGGGGACCAGTCTTCCTGGAAGTTCGGGGCGACTGGGGAGAGCAGCCATATGCTGACTTGAGCAGCGGTGCCTGCCGATGAGGGTCCTTTTAACAGAATGAACGGGAGGTGAGTGTCTGCGGGTGGAGGGGGCAGGCTGACGCTGGAAAGGAGGCAGCACACCGGAGGTCAAGGCCAGGCAGGTGATTCTGAGGGGAGCTGGGGGGATGGGAGCTGGGGGGTGGGAGGAGGGGGATGGGTGTGGGGGGATGGGAGCTGGGGGGATGGGTGTGGGAGGATGGGAGCTGGGGAGTGGGGGGGGGGCGATGTTCTTAGCTGAGGGGATGCAGCATGGGTGCTGTGGAAACTCGCACACGCTCTTCCCATCTGTCAGGAAGAACTGGAGCTGGAGACCGTGTTTTGTTAAATTGTTCGGTGTTTTGACAGAGGGGTGGCCTCCTGTATCCAGGCTCCACCAGGGGCAGGACAAGGTGACAGGCCGTTCCCAGAGCCCCTCACTGCCGTGTGAGAGGCGTCGGGCGGAGCTGGTGCATGCTCCACTCTTGTTGCTTCTGCCAGGAGCCGCTTCCCTGACAGAACAGACAGTCAGCAGAGCCGGGAGTCCGGTGTGACTCCCCGGGGGCCGTGCTGCGTGAAGGCCCGCCCCGGAGAACTGCCGGAGGACTCCTGAGTCCCTGTCCTCACTGCGCTCATCCACCTCGCATCTTAAAAACGTCCTTCTGAGCCCGAATGCTCAGACCTCATTCCCTCCCGCAGAGTGAGCAGGCCTTGGGGATGAAGGCTGGTCTCCTGGGTTTGGCTCCCACCTGACGGGGCAGGAGAGGGAGGGACCTCTAACCCCCCTGGTCCCCTAGTGGGCTCTTTGACTTGGGGGGTCACAGCCTCTGGGTCATACACCCACACGTGGAAGGTCAAGAACAGCTTAGCCTAAGCTTCTTGAGGCTCCAGAGGGACCACGTTCTGCCTTTGGGTCCCCAAGGCGTGCAGGATGGAGGGCAGGGCCAGGAACTCTGCTGTTGACCTCATCAGGGAGACCATTCAGCAATGTCCACCCGAGGACCACCTCCCAGAGAGTCCGTGGCATGCCGGCCGCTCACAAGGGGAGCCCTGGCCGGGCGCGTGCTCCTGTGTAGGGTACAACGTCCCATGAAACGTGGGGATCGGGCCCCAGAGCCCCCGTAGGTGCCTGGGCCCTGAGGGAACACTGTCCTGGGAACCACGCCCCTCCCCAGCCTCTGAGAGACCCTCAGAGCAGCCCCATCACCCACCGGGTCTCATGCTCCCCCTCAGGCCCTGGACTGACCCCTCACCCTCTTCCATGTCACCTGCCTCCCCATCACCTCCCTCCCTCGGGCCCTGGGCCCCGCAGGGCAGCTCGCTCTCCCGCCTTCCACCTGCCCTCCCACCAGCTCCCAGACCCCTGGCCGTACTGCTCCTCCCAGGAGAGGGAGTCTCTGTGTTTGCTTCCCGTATATTGTGTACGGTGTCCCCAGGTCAGGG